CGAGGGCCATAGGCTAGCGCGCCCCCTCCCCCCAGGTCGGGGCCTTTAGCCCCTCCGTCGGGCAGGTCCTGGTGCCATCACTATCAGTGATTTAGGCTAGTTAATCTTAGGCACCAATTTAAGATTTACTAAGGCTACAAGATGTCCCGAGGGTATCCGCCCAGCCCTCTAGCCTTAGTAGGCCTACAGTAGATTTGAAATTGGTGCCTAAGATTATAAAGCCTAAAAATAAAATCACTGACAGTATGGCACGGTAAATTAAAGTGGTGAGCAACAGGACGCACTTTTGATGGTCTTAACCATTTTTTTGTGCTTAAGTCTGAGTTTACATCGGTTTCGCCTACAGTTATTACCGTTACTGTATTACATTTAGTTCAAAATAATTAAGTCTGAGTTTACATTCGATTTCGCCTACATAATTTCTGTTTATTAAATTTTATTTCAAAATAGTACGACGATGACAAAATTCCAATTCGGCAAACTGGGTTCAGCAAACCGGGTTTCGGCCAACTGGGAGGATACCAAATTGTAAAGGTCTAGAAATAAAAGCATCTTCAAAGATTAAATATTTAGGATACAATACGTTAAATGCTGAAGCTATTGTTGAAGGGATCATTAGGAAAGTAAACAACAGACTCAAATTTGTATATAGTCAAGCTGGATATTTTATTTTTATGTAAAGAAAACCATTTGCTCTTCAATTGTTCTTTGCTTATTTGATTATTCTATTGCCTCTTGGTATTCTGGTGTTTCTTCAGGTCTACAAAAAAACTTTGCACAAGACAATTAGGTTTATTTTTGACAAAGGGCCTATGCACCATATCACTTTCATTTCTTTAGGCACGAGGGCCAAGGATATGCCAATAAGTGAACTTAATCACTGTCCTACGTGGCATATCCATTTAACAACAGGGGACTTGGACCGGTACACCGGGGTAACCCCCTACTCTTCTCGAATGATGTACCGGGTTCTTTCAAGTGCACACGAGCCAAATGCGTACACTGGGCCTACGGTTTAAAGTCCTTATCCGAGAAGACTTGTTCCACTTCCTCAGAGTTTAATTTTAATATGTTGAATATAAACAAGACCAAATCACATGAACAATATACGTACATTATGACATGTGCCCTGATTATTTACATCATTATTACACCAAGCTTTCCGATCTTCATCAACACCAAACCAGAGGCAGTAGGACAAATTTACATATTCCAAAAGTTTCAGGCAAGATCTCATCTACATTTTATTACTTGGGTACAAACGACTGGAATAGCTTGCCAGGGCCTATCAAATGTACCAGTAACCGTACTGCTTTTAAAAAGTCATCTTCTCTCACATTTACCATCTATTGTTGATTAGCCTCTCTGCATATTTGTTGCATATTCCTACGTCGCCTTTTTAATCTCCCTTTTATTTTATTTTTTGGCTGTTACCCGTATATTGCGATGGACCTCCCTGGAAATAAGTCCCTAAAAGGGACTTGGAGGGTAATCCTAATACTGTATCTCTTTTTCGTTTTTTGCCTATTTTTCGTCTGTCAACAAGATTTTCTATGTCTGTATTTAATTTAAGAGATACTAAATAAATAAAATCAAATAAAAAAATAGCGACCCTAAACTGATCATCAAGGCCCCCACTTCACCTTTGTTCACCCCATCAGCACCCCCCATTTCAAGACTTCTATATACGCCACTGTCGATGTGGTGGGACAATGGAATGGGATGATGTGGTGGGCAGATGGTATGGGGAAATGGGGTCGGGAAACCTGGTATGGGTAGTGTGTTCACTCCTGTGCACACACCCTATTCAAGGGTGGATCCAGAGATGTCCGAAAGGGGGTCCCCCCCAGAAGGTGGGTGACGAAGGTAGGGCCGATCCACAACACTACCCTAAGGGGCCTGGGGGAATTCCCCATGAAATTTTTTCGTTGTTTTCTAGAATAGGTTATGTAAAAAATGTCAGAAAGTAATGTTAGCACAACGTTGTTACGTGGGGGAAAACAATGTTCTAAGCACATAACTGCAAAGTTATTGTTAAATTGTTGGTACATACATAAAACCAATCACAATCACATGTTACTTAAGTTGTACTGTGTATTTTATTTACATCGATATTGTACAAGTTTAAACTGAACAGTTATTAATTCAATGCATCTTTATTAAAATTATCATCATTGTTCAATACAACAGTAACAACCATGCATGTAAAAAAAATCAACAAAAGTTTAGAAGTAAACTGGTATACATACTGTACTAGTGTAGGTGTTTTTTCTTAATGCATGTAAATAAAAGCTTGGTTGTCAATTACTGGAGTAATGAAATGTGAAAACTACATTTTATTTTTGTTAGACATTGCATCTAAAACTATAAAACAGCGATTTTACAGTGTTAAGCTACTAGAAACATTTCCATGGTATTTGTGGATAGTGGTGTTAACCTGCACCTCCAAAAGGCTTGAAATATAAAATAGAATGCACAAAACTACAAAAACATAGCAATCCTAACAATTATAGTAACTTTTATACCATGTGACTTTCAAGTGTTCCCATACATTCATTACAAAAGACAATATGTTCCATGTGAAACGTGCTAAGAACAATTTAGTGCACATCTCCTGTAACATTACATTACAGTGTAAATGTATCAGTGTACGATTAGAATGTGTTTGCTGTAAAACACAGACATAGCAAAGGTCTGCAACACTTTCAAGATACAGTACTGTATTTATCAAAGACCTAAGCTCAGCCTCTCACAGAGGTGAAGCTTTGTATCTCATCACTGTTGGCCTAGTTTGCTAAATATTCAATTTTGCACAAATTCGAATTGGTATAATAATAGTGCTGAATTGAAATTTCAAATCTATTCTTCTTTTGGATAAATAATGTGTACGTACAGTCCTAGGCCCTGACCTAGTTAGAACAAAATAATACTGTCCTACCTAAAAAAAAAATCTTGACAATATCAAACTGACCTACTTTTAACAAGATTTGAATGTTCCTGTGTGAAGACTGTGATTTGCTAGGAAAATCTTAGCAAGTCTGTGTAACCATGGAGGAAATTTTCTTCCTCCATGGTGTAACATTTCACTCACCTCATGTAAAATTTTATCTCATGAGGGTCAGGTATTAAACTGATTCTGAATACACTTCCCATTGTATTTTTCTGTTGGCTTTCACTTGAATAATTTAACAATGTGTTAACAATACATTTAAAGTACGTATTTACAATGCTGTAGTATAAATACAGCATAATGCCAATGTTTATATGCAATTCATCTACTGTACAGTATATCCCTGGTCAATGAATAAAATATATAAGCGACACATGAGTGTTCCATATTGCTGCAGCTAGCAATTATGTAAAGCGCAGTCCCAAATACACAAACAAGTGGATGCCGCAAAGCGTTATTTCTGCAACACATTTTAAAAAAGTCACTTGATGCAGTATATGGATATGTTAAACCATCTACATTGCTGAAAGTCAATTCCTGTGTTACTAAAGATGTTCTCACTTGAATAGTTGAGGTAGTGATTATGGAATAGATGTTAATCAGCTAATAATGCTACTGTACAATGCCATTCAACTATCATGCACCAGTCAAATTAAAACTTTTTATGTGCTCCAACAAAGTTTTAACAATAACCAGCAGAAAAAAGGGAAATGCCCATAAACTGTATTATTTAACAGTGGTGTAACACAACTTGGGAATAAATACATACAGGAATTCAACATGAAAATATGAAAAACATCACTCATTCTTTCTGGTGTGTCAATAAAATTTAACAACAATGCATGTGTGTCAAACAATGCATATGTTTACGTACGTAGGTTTATGCTATATTTTTGTGGGACCTTACCACCAAGTGTGGGGCTCATCGGCAAGGCTGAACAATCACAGGAATAGAGCACATGATGTTTACAGTTCCAACAACTTAAAATCTGAATACAGTATATATTGTCAATAAGGAATTCAGACTATTAAAAGTGACACTAAGTAAGTAGCTCCTTCCACCCAGGCAAGTTTATCTGGCATGCAACTAACAGTATCTTTACATTATTTTTCTCTATCACCTACTGTAATAAAATAATACAGTATTAACAACTCATGGGTAAAGGAAATAGATCTCTCAAAGTTGCACCAAAAGCCACCTATGGAGATGTCCTGAGAAGAATGTTTTTCTATGTCCTTGTACTGTACTGTATCTATTTTCTTTTATTGCCTTTCATATAGACAACATTGAGTGGCTTCCAGCCTAGTTTGGGCGAATCTGTAATACCAGAAATGGATGGCCATTTTACAATGCTACAATACTGGTTGCATACTGTACATGAGATTTTCAAGAACTTTATATCCATAAATTATTATTTCATTTAAGTTTATACATATAGACAGACAAATAAATAGTAAGGTGAATATATAAATAAATAAACCTATCAATAGAGTACTTCAGTTACAACTTTTATACAAATAAAACAGTAGATTAATTTTAACAGAAAGGTAACTTTCAGAAATAAAACACTTTATATCATGATGGTTTGTTTATTTAAAAAAATAGTATGTAAAATTTTTGCAAAGCAAATCTAATTTTTAACTCATTTCATTTCCTCTTTGATGAACAAAGTATGGCGTATCAATGTGCATTTCCTTGGTTTACTATTTCCGTTTATTTATCTTTTTTCTTTTTGGAGATGGAGATGCAAATTCTATTTCTGGGTCTGTTTCATCTGGTATCACAAATAAATCAGTTACTTTCTCTTTATTGTTTCTGCACACATTCAGTTTGCTTCTTTGCCTTGTCTCCCTTTTTATTGAATGTTTTCTTCCTCTAAGCTGTTTGGCGTCATTGCTCTTATTATGCATCTGTCTTTTCTTCTTGATTATGCTCATCTCTGGCTCCTCCTTGAATCCTTTACCTTTCTCAATTTCATCTACAACTACATATTTAATTGAATCATCATATTTAATTTTCTTTGTTAATTCTTTTTTACTGCCAGCATGTGATCCCATATTAGTGGAATGCTGCTGGGTGAGAAATCCAACATTTCTCTTCAACACTTTACCTGTTTTACTTTTAATCATAAAACCAACATGCTCATTCTTCACATTTTTATCTTCAGTCAGCAAAAAAGTGGACTGGTTCGTGGGAAGTTTTAAGTCTGTCAAGCAGACACGGAGGCCACACCCTTTGATTTCTTCTGCTATGTTAACCTTTGTGGCTGTATTCCTTTCACTAGATACTTTCCTCTTAAATTCTGACAATTCTGTGTCAGAAGGCCGTTCAGATTTGCTTTCATTGCTTGTCTTCTTATCCTGACCAGTCACGTCTTTCGGTTTTTTAGAATACTTCTTTAAAACGTCCAACAACATATCACTTACTTTGTCTAAATCTTCTTCGGATTTACGATGCGACTGTTTAAGTGATGATTCAACAAGAAAGGTAAGTTTACGTTTTTCACATAAAGTGATCCTAGGACAGATGAGAATTCGAGCTATAGGAATAAGCTTTTGGTAAACAGTTTTAGATAGATGTCCAGTTATATACATTTTTTTAATGCTATACAAGGAATTTAGAAAAGTACGGTTATCAACCATCTGCTGCACGCCCCCTTGACCTCCACCCACTTCACATCTGAATAGTTTCTTGTTCTGAAGTCTCGGAACTTTGCAATTTTGTATATCGTTGTTGAACAAAGTAAGTTCACCAGCTTCAAATTCAAGGCAATCGTTAAATCTATAGAAAAACTTTTTTGTAGGTTCTTCTACAACAATATTTGCATCAATGTACATAGGCACCATACATGCCTTTCCTTCAGATGGCAACTGATTTGAATCCTGAGTGGTAGGAACAGAGTTGAAGTTACTCGCCACAGGGTTGGTAGCTCTGAATGTATATATCTGCTGTTGATTAAAACCAGCTGATTTAAGCAAAACATCCTGATGCAAAACAGCTACATTGTTATTTGGCAATGCTAGCAATCCAGAATTAGGCTGACAGACCTTTGGCAAAAGTGGTCTACGATCAATCTGTCCTACAGTTTTAAAAGCAATATTAGTTATTGGAGGTGCCTCAGCTGTTGCTGTTTGGCCAACCATAGTTTGCACACATACATTAGAATTCTGAGAAAGGGTTGACCGACTGCTGAGGTTAATTTCATTTTGGGTTTGAGAACTACTTATTAGGTTCACCTTTGTTGGGAATTCATTGATGACTGAATTCTGTAGTTGATGTGCGCCTGGACTTAAGAAAATATTTGTAGATATAGGTTGTGCTGCAGGTACCATTGAACTGAAAGTTACCAATGCTGGTTGAGCAGATCTTTGGACTGGAAGAACCTGAACAAGAGCTGTGCCCATTGAAGATTTACCAAATATTACTGGAGTAGCATTTGCAGATTTAGGTGAATGTATTGGTACAGCGACTGGTGACACTGGAGACGATGAAGGTATAGCTACTGATGGCTGGGATAGACCAACAGGTGCTGTGGCTAAATGTTGTTGGACAATATTTAAAGGAAATGCTTTCAAAGAAGGTAAGGCTGACACATGTGTAGTAACAGTTGTTGCTACTACCTCTTTATGTTGTGATATGAGAGTTGTAGCTTCAGAATTAAAAACAGATGTAATATTTTGACCAGCAAATGTTGATGCTTGTGATACTGATGGTATGTTTGACTGACTCTCTGATGAACTAACTGATGTCACAATGCTTGGATTTGTTATAATTGATTTAGAAGATACTGCTGGATGCGTTTCATTTGAAGTACTTTCAATTACATTATCATTCTGAGTTTCTCCCTCAAATCCTTCTCTCCATTCTGGGTTTCTATATGTTAGTAAAGTGTTCACATAAGGTCTTGCAAACTGAACTATCCACCTGAAGTCCATTCCATTATAATGGCCTTTACCAATGAGACCACAATACTCGGAACTAATCTGAACTTCACTGATGTATATATTTTCTCCAGATTTTGAGGCAGGAATGGCTTTTACCAATTCTATTGTCAAGGCTTGAAGTCTATCAATTTTCTCCATTTCATTCTTTTGTTCACCTTTGGTATCAGTTTTGTCACCAGTTGCTATGTGAACTAAACCTGGCTTGTTGTCAATCAGAATTTCAGTATCTATGGGATTGTCTATATTTTTGGAAGGATTTATTGGCATCTGATTTTCTGATGTTTTGTTGACATCAACTTCATTGACAGCCTGCACTTCCAAATTCTTATTTGGCTTTGATTCCCCATCACTCAAAACTTGATCAGTATCAGTATGTTTGTTACACAAATGTTTGAAGATATCACTCTTATCCACAACTTCATCACCAGAGTACTTATTGACATTTACTTCTTTTAAATCTTCGACCTTATTATCAATTCCATTAGTGCATGTGCTACTTTCCATGTCTTTTACAGTTTTACTTTTATGTGGGTCATAAAGATCTTCCTTTGGATTAGTTAATGCATGTTTATCATCCCTGCTAATTTGATGGGTAATTTGTGCAGATTCTTTATGTTGTTGAGTATTAGGTTGGTCTGTGACTGGATTTGGTCCATGAATCTCATTACACACATTAAGGTTAGGATTTATTTTCTCTTCCTCTTTTGCTGTATCTACTTTGGATTGTTTATCTTCACATTTAGCAGCAGCTTCACACTCTTTACCTGATGACTGACCTTGAGTGTTTGCTTGGCAAGTTACAGTTTGTTTAGTTTCATTCATGCCATTGACTTCATTTCCCTTTAAATACAGGTCTTTACTATTTTGATCCATTGCATTTCCATTATCAGATTGTGTTGCATGTTTTTGGGTTGAGATTTCATTTTGGAGAACTTGACCTACAAGCTGAATATTGCCTTGTTGATTGATTTGAACTTGAGTCATGTGGGTTGATTGCTTACCAGCTTGCTTCAATTCTGTTATATGTTTCACTAGAGCATTGTTAACAATTGTTTGTGCAGCATTACGAATAGCAAGCAACTGAACATGCAAGTCTAGGATACATTCTTGCTTTTGTTTCAATGAATAACTAGTGACTTCTCTGCATCTCTTGCGCAAGTTTGTGGAGTGAGTTAATTTCCAAGCTTCTTGAAGAAGGCAGGAGTCAACTGCTTCACTAAACATACGCTGCATGACATTGGTGTTCAGGCCAAAATTCTCCAAGTAATTTTTGTCATCAATTACTGACAGTGGTGACAGTGTGTAGTCAGAGGTTCGTATTTTGACATCTTCTTCTCTTGGAAATAGAGGGCAATCATCAAATTCCTCATTCAGGTTGCCAAGTGGAATTTTAAATTTAAGGTCCTTATCACTGATATTATACTGTGGATGTCTCTTAAGAAGTCGTTTAAGTTCAAGTGATTGCTTGTGTTGTGCAAGTCTACATGCTAGGTTCACTCTTTCAACTTGTTTACCCAGATTAAATGATCCCTTAGGTCTAAGGTTGCTGTAGACGGTTGATGTAACATGCTGTCCAAGGAATGATGAAAGCCCTGTGGTTGTGGCTACTTGAGATTTTAGATTGACAACCTTATTCTGAGCTGACTGCACAGGTTTGTTAACTGATGATGAGGGCACTGTTGTACCTAAAATTGATTTACCTGGCTTAAGACTTACTTGCATGTTCACAACTGGTCTGGCAGTTGTGTAAATTACTGATGGTCCTTTTTTCACTGGTGGCTTTTCTAACATCACTGACAACATACTAGAAAATGGATCTTTATTATCCTTTGATTTTGCTATAGTTGCCAAATTTTGCATCATGTCTTTTGCACTGAGTTTATGTTTATTTGTTAAAGATTCTGGGCCTAAGTCTGAAACAGATGCTGCTGTAAGCTTTTGTGAAGTGTTTTGATTTGTTGTCTTTGTTAATTCATCTGAATCAGAGTCTGAAATGACAATTGTTGTTAATTGGTGGCTCTTAGAAGGTCCTCCTTTTCCTGACACAAAAGATGTATTGGCACCTCTTGACACACCAGACGCTGATATAGCTTTGCTACCAGCAGTTGTTGAAGAAAACTTAATTTGGTTTTGTTTTGGATTGTCGACTGTCATGGTGTGGAAAATCAAGCGATGCGACACTCGCCGATGAATTTCTAAGTGCTGTTCAGTAGAAAATAATTTGTCACACATGTTACAGATATGTGGATGTGCAATTCTTTCATGTCGTTTTAAATGGCACTGGTTATCAAAATACTGGAAGCAAATTTGACATGGAATTCGATGTTGCACTCTTGTTGTGTGCACACCAAATTCAAAGCAATTCCTGAAGTAATGCTTACAGATCAAACATTCTATACCTTTCTTGTCAAAAACTGCAAACTTGCTTGTAGTACCTGAAAGAATGAGAAATGTATCTATGTAAACAATGTTTGTTAAGTAAAAAAATACAACCTGTAATTAAAACTGAATTTACAGAAAATAAACATAAAAGTGACATAATAAACCTCAGGATCTGGTAACAGGTTCTAATGATAACTTTACAAAATGATAGAGTGGAAGAATATCCAAATACCAACCGTCCAGAAAACCGAATCTCATGCTAAACCAAACTTTTTTTGAAATACCCCATTCTTTCTTTAATTAAAGGAATTCTGAAAACCAAATCTCTCCCAATTCCAGATTTCCGATGATTTTTCCAATTCAGGAATATAAAATTCACTTCAAAAAACCGAATGATCAGTTACAAAAATCATACCAAGTAAACGAAGAAAGACAAACAGTATAATGTGAAAACGACTGGTAACAGTAAAACAGTTTGCCATGTAGCTTTTCTATTTATTAAAGCATAGAGAAAATAGAACATTTCTATTTTCTCTATGATTAAAGTGACACACCAGTATTACCCATGTTAATGTTAGATAATAAAGTAAAAGTTACATCTTCCATCATTTTAATAAAGTGTATTCTCGCTTGTATCAATTATTCATAGTTTCTACGACTTTAATTCCTAAAAAAAATTGATTGTAATCAACCTGAAAAGAAGACGGAACTCAAAGCAAGTTTCTACAGGTAGTTAGGCAGATGGCGTACCAAAGTGGCAAAAACTTATTTACAAAGCGATTTTTATTGGAAACTGTTGACATCGACCTGGAATATCACCAAAAAAAGTTGGATGGATTTCGACTGTGGGAAAATTTGTTATGACCTTTACCTAAAATGGGTGATTCTATTCATA